AATGGCAAAGGCTCTATATGCCTTTTATTTCTTGATCAAATGTGTTGATCCAAGGTAAGGAGTCCTAACGGTTCCAAAAATGTCAAATCAGCAGGAGAACCTGAAGAAATGCTGACAAAAAACCTTAGAGAATTGGCACAGTTTGAAAACAATAAATAGGTTTGTACGTTAGTGATTGTATTTAAAGGGAGCTCATACTTCATGAGTCATTTTTCATAGGAATGCCAAAGTCTTCTCAGTGGGGAGAGAGGGGAGCAAATGGTATAGCAAATTACTTTCTACTACATGAGCACACTCTATTTCACTAACATCTGGTTGCTTTAATGTTCCGTAGCCTCCAACCCCATTGTGTGACTTTTTTTTACATGCAACATTTCACTCCTTTACTACCAGTGGGATTTAAGGGATTTAATATCAGTCCATTTCCAATGTAATAATAAAGGCATGAGCAAGATAAGAAAGTCTGAACTCATGGATAAGATCTTCTTGGATGCTAGTATACAACAGGGAAGGATAAACACAGTCCTTAAAATAGCTTGTGAAAAAGGCTGCACCTTTTATGTATTAGTATTAGCTTTGACATACCTGCTTGTCTTCATGGGATGATTTTTGTCAGGTTAATGTAATCACGGTCTGATCATTATCCTTTTGAGTTCATGAAACATATTCCACATTCAGTGTTAGTGAGAGGTCAAAACTAGACCCAAGTCAGAACCTAAGTCCACACTGTGTTTGGAAATAGTGTCTAGAAAGATCTCAGATAATGGATTTCACCCATGCACAACTACCTAACTTTGGCCACAAGGGAAAGCAGTACAGAGTCCCAACAACAGTAAATTAAGACTTTTGTGCAGTGGGCTTGCATTGAATAGGCTTATTCCCTAGTCTGAACAACGTGAGAGCCAGAGTGATGTGGTTTGAGCATCAGACTGTGATTCTGGTTTGAATCCCTACTCAATGATGGAAACTCACTGGGAGACCTTGAGCAAACCAAACTTTCTGAGTCTTAGAGAACTCCAACTGAGCTAATCTTGTCAAAACTAAAACCCCATGATAGGTTTGCTTTAGGGTTGCCATAAGTCAGAAATGTCTTGAAGACAAAGGGGTTAGGTCTGTTAAAAGGGTCAGGTACAAGGAGTTAGAAAAGACTTGTGTTCAATTCTTGGACAGTAAATTGTATTGAGTGGATGATTAAAAGTGACTTCTGTATTATTTATTTCAGACTCAGATCCTACTATTACTTCCACCTGCAGTAGATCTATTTAATCAATATGACTCCTTTACATTAACTCACAATTTGATAATCAATTCACAATGGGACTACAGAGTGTCCCAAAAGTCACCGTACATAGGAAAAATGGGAAATTGTAACTAAATGTGCTTTTATTTAAAAGCATTCATTAATTACAAATATTTATAAAATATTTTTTATGTGCTGTATATCTGAAGGTATAGAAAATACAAATATATATATAAATGGAGCTATATAAGCGACTGTAATAAATATTGAATTTACTGTATTAATCTATGTGGTGACTAGATCTACGCTAATTGAGACTAACCAGCAGGATTACTAATTTAATCTCAAAGTGTTCACCATTGTCTCAGTAAAGATGACTATCAAAAAAAGCTATGAGCAGGCAGGATGGATCTCTCATACTTGGTACATCCCTATTAGTCAAACCTCACATTCACAGAAGTTACTGTTGGGGTATGGGATCAAGCCACATTGAATGAGCTTCCATGACACTCCAATGTATGTGTTGAAAGGGAAAGAGTGTCAGTGTGTGTGTGTGTGTGTGTGTGTGTGTGTGTGTGTGTGTGTTGGGGACTTAATTTCCATTCCCTTTCCATCACTTCATTAATAATTTTGTATCTGAATAAATGGAATAGGGTATTTAGTATTTATTCGTTTAATTTTCTATCGTGTCTCCTAAAACATGTGCAGAAATGAGATCTTATTTTGGAACTTCTCCAGTGCCCCAGCAATCTTAATCTAGCCTTGCCCATCAATCTTAGCAAATATAGCCAATGATAAAGCACACTGGGAATTAAAAACCAATAATATCTGGATAGGGGTGTAACTCCTACCCTAGCTTTTTTATGGATCCTATGTCCTAAAAAAAGTATTACTCTGGGAAACTCACTGCGATAAGGTGTACCAAAGTATGTCAAGTATGGCATGATTTATGTCTGTGCTTGTCTTGTGTGGGGGAGGTTTGTATACATCCTCCAGGACCAGTAAAGGAGATTACCAGTCTCTACTTCCAAGATTTTTTGAGATGGGATCACAATTCCACTTAAAGGATGGTTTGAAGTTAATATGGCAGTCCCTAGCTCAGGTTAAACATTGTGAACATTTCAACAGGAAGCCAAAATGATTCTGGTAAAATTGCCAACCTTGTTTTGTGCATACTGCACCTAAGGCAAGATGACAGTTGAATATGAAAATTTTCATTTCAGCTGACACACCAGAAGGATTTTGAGTGAGGGATGGGATGAAATTTTATTAGGCAGGGAACATTTTTTTCATTCCTACTCCCACATCTTTACTTTCATGTACCTGGGCTGAGTACGTAGGTGTGTGTTTGTGAGGTGGAGTTGTGTTTTTCATTTGTTACTGGGCCTCTGTGTGCAGCAGTAGGTTTCTGAAAGAAATGTGTCTAAGAGTTCTGGAATCCCATAATTATAACTGTTTATACTTCCCCTCCCCCCTATACCCCAAAGCAAGCTAATGGTTCTGTGTGACATGAGAACCTCATTTATTCCATAGATATTGTTAAGAAGAGTGGTCATCCAATCCTTTATTTGCCAACCAAACATTTAATTTTTGTTGCGGGTGGTCCATCATGCCTTGTCAGATGCAATTATCACTTTGAAAAAACAAAAAACAAATGTAACCCAAAACAAATGTAACCTCTCTCTCAATATGACAACAAGCATCTCGTGAGTCCCTCTCAAGTTACTGTATTTTAACTTCAACATCCCAAACCCCACACAGTTGGTAGTTTTACATGCTTGAAAACATTTTGTTCATCCACGAAACAAGACAAAAAAGTTAATGATATAGATTAGCCATAATGCTGCATTGACTGCTTGACTTTTGTCATCTGCTTGACGTTTGGCTGGGGTCGTCCTGGTGAAATCAGTGCAAAAGTCGAGGCAATGATCGGATCACCAGGCATTTCACGGGTGCTTGTGTGGAAGTCCATTACAGTGGATTATCCCTTATTGTTGGAGGCTAACAGTAGTGTCTGGTGGTTTCCATGTCAATGTGGTGGTGATAGTGGTTTAGAGTTTGAACTTTAAAAGAGGCAATAGTGTCCACACCTTGGTAGGCAATAGTGTCCACACCTTGGATAGTTCCTTCAGAGTTCTAAGTAATACCAGGGATGGATTCACTGTTTCACTGACATGGAAACTCCTGCCATCCCTGAAGGCAGGATTATTTTTAAAGGTTTAGCATATATAGCCTGAACATTTCCTATTTGGAGGAGAAAACTTTAGAGACAGTCCATTTTAGGGGAGATGCAGGTATTTCCTTCTAAGCCACTCGAATAAGCTGCATTCTATATGAGAGAGATGGCTAGATGCAGGGACTCTAGAACTACTGTATTTTAAGCTTGATAGGGCAGGGGCAATACATTTTTTCGTCAGTTATCATTTAAGCATGCTTAAATTGTAAATTGCTTTATTTTTTTTACCAATAGTTCAATATTCTTCCAATTTTGATTCCTTAATATCGTTTAGCTATGTGTGTTTTATTGATATAAATTGAGTATCTCTTATTCTATGGGGGGAAAAGTGTTTTGGATTTTTCCAGACTTTAGAGTATCTGTGTTTGCATATACAGTTTGGAGTTGGAATTCATGTGTAACCACAAAATTAGTTAGTCTTTCATGTACAATTTACATATCTAGCCTGAAGTTGAATTTATGCACTATTTTAAATATTTCCGTGCATGACACAAATGTTATGTACACTGAAACATTAGAAAGTAAAGGTGTCATTTTCTCAGCTACCCATGTGAACAATTTTGGATTTCAGAATACCAGATAAGGATGTTCAACCTGTCTTTAATTTGATCTCTAAAATTCTGAAAGTGTCCAAGTCTGAGGAAAAGGTGGATTCTGAATAAAATGATTGCTTGAAATATGAAACACAAGCACAATGTATACTTACCTATAAGTGCTCTCCATGTGTTCAGAGTAGCTTATGCCAAAGTAATGGTCCATATCAGCCTCTTTAGTTGTAATCATGATCTTTTATCCTGTAACGAACGTAGATGTGTGCGCACCTTCAAGTTGCATATTGACTTATGGTGACTCAATGAATTTCATAGGATTTTCTTAGACAGGGAATACTCAAGCAGTGGTTTTGTCAGTTCCATCCTCTGAAATATAGCCTACAGCTCCTGGTATTCATTGCTGGTCTCCCACTCAAGTATTAACTAGGGTTGCCTAGCTTCCAAAATCAGACAAGATATGGTCCACTAAAATATTTAGATGGAGTCATTTCAGCCTTTATTGTTTTTGCAATGGCTCAATGACAAGCATTGCGCTAGATCATTACGTATACTTCAGACTGATAACACCTGAGGAGCCTCAACTGCATTGGTGGTCCAATTCTGCCAGATCATCTTAGGGAGGCTCAGCCTAGTCTTGGAAGGGGAGGAATTCACCCCATCTCCTCCCCCACCACCATTTTGGGATTCATGGTCAGATAAGGATAGGAAAATGCGCAAGCACTCTACTGCACATATGCCAATGTGGGGGAAATAACAGCTGGAGTCAGTGATACACCAATCCCTCCCATGTAGTGATGGATCATACCCAGTTTTCTCCTTTTTTTACAGACTCCTTCATGAAACACTGATTGCAACAACTGCCCTCCATTATTAACAGATTGCAACAACTGCCCTCCATTATCATCCTTCAGAGAGTTTATGTATTTATGTATGAAAACAGGAAAACAGTTTGAAAATTTCTGTACCACAATGCTATGATCAAACAATGACAGCTGAACTGATTTATTTTGTGACAAGAAATATCAAAAGACAAAACTGCAGCATCAATATAGTTCTTTGAATGCATTTTGATCAGACTTAGTATTAATAAAACTACTTCTGTTCCCCACTACAGACACTGCACAGAAGACATACACATTTATTTATTTATTTAGTGGAATACAATGTGAAGAGTGGGGTACATGTTGACTTGATGTACAGTTTTCTACTTAACTTGCTCTAACAAAATGAATCTCATTATGGTTATACTGACGAACTATCCACAGTTCTCTAAAATTAAAGAGGAAACAAAAAGTAAAACAAAAAATCATATAGGCTTTTTTTTCAATTGAACAAAGGCGATAGTATGTTTAACTGAAGACTGCATTTACTCAGTGTAAGCCGTGAAAATAGGAGCACTCTGTTAAAAAATATACCCAATATTGCATTTCAGAGCCACTGTATATATTGCAATAAATGAAGAAAGATGTTGCTTTTTTGATTGGCTCTCAAAAGTTATATACACAGAAGATAATAGTGGCTGCAGTCCTCAAGTCACTTGCTTTGGAGTAGATCTGTTCACTCTAATGTGATTATTCTAGGTAGTATTGGAGTGGGCAAGGGTAGAGGAACACCAGCATCCACATTACTTTTAAGGGATTATACAGCTTTTACTTTAGGAAGGAACAGGACTTTTGTCTTAGCAGATCATATTGTAAATTCATATTTTCCAACATTTCCCAGATGAGAACTAGGACATGTGTAGTCAAGCAACATCAGAGTGTTGTCAAGACCGCAAAGGTTATTATAAAAAGCCTTTTTGGACGAATTGACGTAACCCGAGGACAAAGGGGTAAGTGGGTAAAGGAGATAGGAACCAGGGCATTGTTAAAGCAGCCAAAAATTTGGGATGGCAGAGGATTAATTGGAACCATCCTCTACCAAATTGTGATAGCTTGAGGATATGTAAATCTTCTTCTAAACTGCTTCAGGCTGCAGATGGAGAATTGATTGTTTGAATGCTCTCCTATGAAAGAGAACCACCATCTCACACATTAAAAATGAACGAGAAAGCTAGGCTAGTGCCTACTTTACTGATGTCTTGCTTTTTGTACACAGAGAATCTATATTTTCATCTCCACCTATTCTTATTCCAATTGGCATTCTAAGGCGCTGGCTGAAGCATCAGGAATTTGCTATGTTTTTCCAAGTCTCCAGTTAAGAAGACAAATCTCAGAGTGAGCACCTCTAGGAGAAGAGAAGGTTTATGTTTTATATATGAGGTTGTGTTAAAGCTTGGGTATCCTTTCCAACAGTTTCCAGCTAGCTCCAGTACTGACTGGTGTTTTACTAGATATTAGCCTGGAGAATTAGGAGGGGATTGGACACAGAGCTATTGATTAGTGGGGATATCTTGTCACCTGGAGCAGGGCAGCAAGTAGAGTGCCAGAGTCACGACCCATGAATATTCCACTTGCACAAGCATAATGTGGTGGAGGAACTGGGGGAAGAACATTGTGACAGGGTCTTCCATATTCCTCAAGCACAGCATTTGGAAACAAATTGGATGTGCCATGTTTCCTGCAGCTAAGATTGAACAGCGGGATAGTCCTAGCAGGAATGGCAGTAACTGCTGTATCTGCTGGATATATTTTGCCCTCTATTTTGTTTTTCTCCTTGGGTCTGGATTACCATGTCACCTCCATTTTGCTCATCTACTTCAATGCCTTCCATGCCCATTTCCAAAATCAGCTGGCCTAGAAACACTTCTGGATCTCTCTCAACCCTTCTCAGTCTTGCCTCTATGACAATGAAAGGACACATCCCTGTGGCTTCACAAGAGTCTACCTTCTGGATTTCAGATTTCTCCCTAAAATATTAACTTGGGAACTTAACATCTATATATACACAGGTGATTGCCAACTCTCTATCTTTCTCAGTCTCTCTGTTTATAGAAATGTATGCACACAAAACTAAAAATATATGTTATCTGTGTGTGTATAATTAGGTAAGTAGCAATAGATATAGTTGTGCAGAGTTGACTGTTTCTCTGAATATATAAGTAATAATTACTCATGATCTTAAGTGCCACAGTTCAGGAATATTTTTATCTAGTGATTTTTAGTTCTTTGAGTCAAGAATACATTAGAGGAGGATTTTTTCCATATTTCACATTTAAATAACAGTGGATAATCAGTGTTGCAATTTCTTCATGTCAAGTCACTGTAATACAGCAGACAGGACCTCGCTGGAAGACCTTCTCAGTAGGAAGTTGCCATGATGAGGGCTTTATATCACAAATCTTTTTGAAGAAAGAGAAGATTAAAACAGCATTAAGCAAAAATGGCAAAAGGCATTGCTGCCTTCCATTCAGAGGTAAAAACAGAACCTCCCAATCAGCAATGTGTTGATGATAGAAAGTAGCAAGAAACAGCTACTTCTTGTTTGGTGATAAAGCCCATTCAAGTCTATTGGCAGTCTGGCATGAAAGGTTTCTCAACTGACTACCCCAAATGAACTTTGTAATTTTCAAAAGCAAGATCTCTGAGGAATGCAAACACATATTTGATGCTCAGTGCAGTGCACTCATGTGCAGGAAAATGCACATCTTTGATACTTAGTTTGATCTTGTATTTTCAGCTAAAATATTTCCAGTTCTAACTGTCGAATTGCAATAGGATCCAATACTAATGTTTGCCATTGGCATTAGTAGCACATATACTCCATCCTAAACTGATGTGATGAGCTTTAGGGCAGCTTTCAAATATTATCCTCTAAGAATAGAGTAAGACTGCCAATATTCATTCTTTCTCTCATATATATAGGCTATTCTGAAGTATTTTGACTGAGTTGAAAGATGATAAGATTTGGCTCTCTTTTTTTACTAACTGTTTGGAAGATTGGGAAAAAGGGTAAATTTCTACACCAGATGGCATCAGCTCCACAAACGTAATCCAGCTTTACTCTGAAAAGATATGATATCACAATTATAGGATGCTATATAGCTTTCCCCCCACAAACAATCAAGCAAATAGTTGTTTCACCATATTTGGGATCAGGCATTGAACTGAATCCATTTGGCTAGAAATGCACATTTGAGGACCAGTTCAACTTGTCCATTTTAAAACAGCAGCAAGAGTCTTCAGATGATGCATTATGGGAAGTTTTGTTCCTGTGAGGGACAAAAGTATCAAGGATGTTAGTGAAATCTGGCAGGCAGAGTTCATGTTGTAACTCCCATGCATATCTGACCCTATTGATTTTAAGTGCAAAATTTTAAAAAGACAAAGTCAAGTTCCAAGAAAGAAGAAAAAGAAGGAAATAAAGCCAGAATGGGGATTGATATGAAACAAAAACCACCGCCCTAGATTTTCTTTTAAGCTTTAGAGATTCTCTAGTCTTGGCTACTTATATAAGCATTTGACATCTGTCTTGGTTGATCTTGTATACAATACTGAAAGAAGGAAAAGGACAATCACATAACAGGAAGCAACAGAGAAACTCCTTCAAAACAAACAAAAAAAGAGAAGAAAGATATTTAACATCCTATTAAATAAATAATTTAGGGAGAAATACAAAGCCATGGCATTAGCATACAAGGAGGGGACCATACTATTTATTTTGTTAGAACAGTTTTACTCTAATGTGCTTATATTTCTTAATCCTATTCATTTCTTCCACAACACCATCCCAGAATCTTCTTTATTTCTGCATATGATCCATGTGCTTCCAGTAAATGCTTGCGTGCCTCACTGTTCATTGGATCATCAGGCTTGAATGAGCAGTGAAGGTCTTTGATATGAGTTAGTATTCCATAAATAACTTCCACCGAACATCATTCAATACATTGTCTTATGTCCTTTAAGTTCTATCGGCAAGATGAATAATAATAATATTATTATTAATAATAATAAATTTGTTCACACTGGAAGGAGCTCCCATCCCATTTGATCCAGCTTGTGTCTTGATTATAAGATATGACACAGACCTAATTAGAAGTACTTCATGTGCCAGCAGAGAGCACAAAACCTTCAAAGGCTTCCCTCCTCTTTTCAATCAAGCAGACGTCTGCACTGTTTCTGCCTTTCCTCTTCAAGAGGATTACAAAGTATTTGTGACAAATGATCTTTGGTTCAACTGCTATCAATAGAACAGGTCCTTCATCTGAGGCTCCACGACCATTGGGAGAAAATGAGCTGTGGTGTTTTTCCTCCTGGTTTTCTGTCCTTTTCTTGTGGCCCCTCTTCCATTTAGAGCCACAAACATTTGCCTTCCGTTGTGCTTCCAAATGAATGATGCATATGTATTGTATCCATTTTCTTCTATCCTCTCTTTTAGTTTACAGTCATTGTTAAACTCCCTCTGTTTGAAAAGAAAAAGACAACACACACACACACAGAAGATCAGAACCGAACAGATGTAAGATCACTTCAGAGAGAACTGGCCATTTCCCTTCACATTGATTTTTACTTGACTATTGTTATGTGGTTACTTCTTTTACTTAGTTGTATGCCTTCAGAGTCTGAAAGGGGGAAACGATGGCTAGGAGCATTTGTTTTGTTTTGCATCTGTCTATGTCAAAACATTTGTGATGCACAAAATTTATATTGATCCTAAAAAGGAAATGAGGGCAAAAGAGGCTACCAATTTCTATAAAATATGCCTATGCCATGATTTAACTAAACATGCAATATGTATCACCACTGTCGGGGACACTGGGACCACATGATCTGCATGGCTGTACTAATCCAAGTACTAACTGCTGTTGTGCCTATTCAAGGTCTCTGCTCTCTGAACCACCAATTTAATGGTCAATGGCATCAGGTAGTGGGTTTTGAGAAAAGGGTCATCTTTACAGCCCCCTTATTCCTGCCAGCTATTGGGACCACCACAAGGAATTGAAAGAGGAATCCTCTTTCTGATTGCCATAGCATCACTTGTTGGGGGGGGGGGGGATGACTGCAAACTTCATTTTCTTGTACCTTGATCAGCAGCTGAACACAGGCAGTCCCCAGGTTACAAACATCAGACTTACAAATGACTCATAGTTAAGAACGGAGGTGAGACAACAAGAAGTGAGAGAAATTTACTCCTCAGAAGGGAATTCGATTCATGAAAGTTATCATGGGGAAAATGTGTTTCCTCTGAAGCTTTACCTCCAGTCCTTGTTTCCACAACAAGCCACTTCTGCAACAAGCCATTTTTTTTCAAAATCCAATTATCACAGGGCCAGAAAGTGAAGTGAAATCTTCTGAACAGCAAAACAAACACCACAGGTATGTTAATCCTTCCCTATGTTATTCAAAGCATGCATGCATGCATGAATGTGTGTGTGTGGCTGGAGTTACACTTTAAAATGTCCCTGTTCTGACTTACATACAAACTCAACTTAAGAACAAACCCATAGACCCTATCTTGTTTGTAACGTAGGGACTGCCTGTATACCTCATTTTCACCTGATGCTGATGCTGGTTGTTAAAATGAGTTGTTGAAGCTAATATGGGGAGGCTAATTCATCTACCATTATATATCTGATAAGTGTTCAGATCTCTTTCTGATAACAATAATTATATTTTTCCAACATTTGCATTTAAGTGTACTCTTAAATACAGAGTCCAGAAACATATATGATATATTTTAAGCCAGGCATTAAGTTGTTGCATTGGCTAACTTTCAACTTTTGTTTTAATATTTGGAAAGTGCATATCAGGTCAGTTTATGTTCCAGTTCTTCAAGGCTCCTTAGCTGCATTCTGAATGAAATTTACCACCCCCAACCGGCAATTAATTAAAAACAACTACATACAGAAATTTATGTCCTTTGTAATTATACATTTAATGTTGCATCTAATTTGACCAAAAGTCTTACAGCATTGGCAATAAATTCAATTACAAGTCTGTGCTCTTCTTTTATTTTATAAGAGGGTTTTATTTTATTACTCACAATAAGTAAAAATCTGCAAAGTAGGGATGCTCCGCCCACTTGAGTGGGCAGAATGACCCTCTGTCCACTCAAGTAAACCTCCTCCTCCTTGCCACCTCCACTGCTCCCCACCTCGGAGACCCCTTGGGCACCCAGCCTGGCGAGGAAGGAATGTGGAGCATTGAGTTCCCTCAATGCTCCCCGTGAAACAATGAGTCCACAATAAGAGAACCGCGAAGTAGTGAGGGAACACTGTACTATGCACAATTTGCTTTCATTTTAAAAAATCAATTGATCACAAGTGCAGGTTGCACGTAATTTTAATCTGATTCCACTGGCCTGTTTCCCCCCCCCCCCCCATGGATCTAGAATCCAAGTCTGCTTTAGCTCGAGCATCCTTTCCCATGAAATGGACATATCACAGATACATATAAAGAACTCCAAGGAAGTTCAACTGGGCACCAAACCTATGGGTGGATTTTGTCATTATTGAGCTTTAACACATGTTTTGCACATGGCTCATATCTTATTGAAAAACTATGCTGGAAATGTCTGTGAGTGTTAGAAAAAAATTTATGGAGGCTATTTCTCATACCTATCTGCATATAAATGCCAAACTGCTATACCATACCAGTCTGAGTTCAACCATAGGAGGTCTTGATGAAAATGAAAAGTCTCACTATATATCCTGGAAACCATGTGCAAATAACCAGTAAATCATGATTTTGGTGCAAGGATACAAAATGTTCTGCATAGCATAGCCAATAAGGAAAAAAATCCTGATATTTCCCTTGCTGGTATTTTGATCTCAAATCCAGTCAGCAACAGTAAATCATGACTGTGGATCCTACTGTTCTTGTAGATATGGGGGCCTTTGGGGGGGAGAAACAGATTTTTTTTGCTAACAGATATTCCTCTATTTGACTTATGGGTAAAGGAAAGAAAAATCTGAAAGTCTATTCATGCTTCCTACTATTCTAAGGGCTATAAACACTGAACTGCTTATTTCAATGACAGCAGGCATATTGCATCAATGGCACTTGCATTTATTTTACCAATTTCCCATTGACTGACTCTGTCTACTGTAATTAAGTTTAAGAACTGGATTACAGCCTAGGTTTATACAGATGGATGTAGAAAGTCAAAAGGTGGGCATAAAAGTTTTACGAATTGTAGAGCTGCATAGTTATAAAATAGATTACTCTATTTATTCATGTATAACTCTAGAAAAGGTTCTCCTACCTCCTCTATATGTCAATTTATAGAATCATTTAAATAAGAAAATAAAACATATGTATTTCTGTGATACACATTTATGTATGATTATGTCATACTGAAATCAGTAAGGACCTCATCACATGAAGTCGCCCAACATAGATGACAGTGGGGAGATTTACCAGACAGCATGGTGAAACCAGAGGGCAGCAGGGGAATTCATTGCCCCACACCTTGTATCACTCGGAGTGAGGCCTTTCCCATTCTTTGGGGGGAAAGCGTTGCTGCCCAGCTTCCCTCTATACTCAACCCATTGCTGGCAAAGAGAACACAGGAAGCCTCCTATGTTCTCGTTGCTGTGTCCCATGACACTTTCCCCACAATTTGGTTATGGAGCCCCACCGGAAGTATCTTTATGTCATTTGATGGGATCCAGCAGGCTCTGTCCCTGAACTGTGGTGAAAGTGTCGTTGGATGGGTAAATTTGCCCATGTGATGAAGTCCTAAGACTCATTTTTGAATAATCTTTCATAGAGCTGGAACTATCCTAAGTAAGACTCACTGAAGATTTGACTTGATATATTTTGATTATACAAAGCACTTTTTGCAACTGTGCTACTGAATCTTGCAGTTATCATTGTAACACTTACAAGTGTATCAAGAACCTAACAAATCCCTCCCAGTGATGGTCACAAATCAGCTCAGAGGGGGAAATAATGGCTTTATTATTAACCACTGCCTTTCTCCTCCCTCCCTTCCCTCTCCTCCTCCTCCTCACCTATCTCATCCCCCCCCCCCCCCCCCCCCCACACACACAGTTTGGGTCTGAAGGGACAGCATTCACCCAGGGGATCAATTTGTATCACTTCTCTTTTGTTATTACTAATTTGGATTATTCAAATGCAAGGTTTTTTTTTTCAGTTTTGTCAACTGCAATTTTCCAAATCTCAGATCCAATACCACTGCAGTCATGATTTCTGACTGTGCTATGTGATCCTATGCTACTATCTTAATAGAAGAAACCTTAGTAAGAAACTGAAGATATTCTGCACATGAGAAAATGTTTTTTTAAAAACTTCAATAACATTGCAGCTGAGTGCCAGCTTTATTTTAAAATGTCACATCAAGGTTTCCAGGCTGTGTAGCTTCTGAATGACAGGTATTTATTTTTATGGGAAGCAGTGAAGCTCTTATATTTGTGAAGACTTAATTCAAGAAGCAAATATAAACACTTACTGAAAAAATTAACACACATTTTCATTATCCCAGATGGAGAAAGAGAACACACTTTCTCCAATTCAGCTGCTCACAGGAGTCCCCAGTGAGGTTTTTCTCCTGCCCAAGAGGGAAGGAGTGGATAGTATCTGGAAAGAATGGACTATATAGCTCAATGGCAGAACTCTGAACCTGCAATACAGGAGTTCCAGGTATCTGCATTAGTAACAGATACTGAGAAACATATGCTGTCAATAAACCAGCAGAATTATGTAGAGAGTGGACAAGGGCCGTAGATCACATGATATGCGTGCTTAACATCTCAGGTTCAGTCCTTGAGCTCATTCACACTACATAAGTATAATACTACATTCAATTTTAACTCCTATGGCAATATTCAATGGAATGCTAGGAAGAGATGAGACATTCTCAGCCAGAGGACTTTATATTACAAATCTAAGGAATCCATGGAATGATACCATGGTAGTTAAAGTGGAATAATGGTGCTATAATTGTATAGTGTGAATCGTATAGTGTTATCTCCAGGTAGTCTGGGAAGGATTCCTACATGCTTTGTTGGAATGTCAGTGTCTGCCATGCAAACTTAGCAGGTTATTAGTAAAAAGCAAACTTAAGACAAGAGCAAATACAAATCAACATCTTCTGGAAACTAAACTTTCTTCCTGCCCAATTTCCTAAATGTGTTTCCCCCAAAATAAGTCTAACCAAGGACAACTGGACTATGTATGTTTGAGCCCTAGGATGTAGAATCAAGAAAGTGAAATATACTTACAGATCCATATACTTTTCCATTCTTGTTCATGGCTAGATAATAATTGCTGTTAATGGATTTCACTGCCACAACTCCAATGTCCACAGATGTTATTGCCAGTATGCCTACAATACAAGAAAAGAAGGAAAACAAGAGTGGTGTAGGTCTAAGACTTCAAATCTCATAATTACGGAGGGAGGGAGAGCAGAGCAGATTTCATGGGTAATAAATATGATAAATAGTGAGAATTAAAACAGATCTATTTGAACTTTACTCAAATCCTGTTAATATGCAGGGCAACCTACCAACCCACCAGTTTCAGAGACTTTCACAGCAAGTATATACACAAATGTTGTTTCAATTATGATGTTTCCTCTCCTATCCTTGTGTTTTAAATTCCATAAATATTGAAACAGCTCAAACTCTTCTTAGTGTAGATTTTCACTGAAATTTATCAAAAGAGACATCTAAACCACAGCATTAAATTAAATCTATAGCATATGTCAACAGAATGGCAGATTCATCCCAACAGGCAGAAACAGTGGTAAGCACTTTCTTCCTTATTCCTTATAGGACATTTAGATAAAAACTAAATCTCTCAGCCATATAAAGCTGATACATTCACTTTTGGCAAGTGTGTTTGACATTCTGGGGGTATGGTTAAACTAAATCTGATGTCCCACACTGTCGTGCCCTCTCAGATAACATAAAAACCACACTGGTCTGTTTGCAATAAAATGTGTTTAGATTTTCCCCGCTGAAGCAACTACGGGCACAGTTTCATTGCAACTTGTGGGGGAATGTTCAGCTCTTCCAAATGTATGTACGGAAAGCAGATTTGCTCAGTTCCCTCCTCCTCCATTTGCATTGTATTGGTCACATAGACTATCCAAATATCAAAGTACCAAGAACTGATTTGCACTATTATTTGGCTTATAGCAAGGAGCAGAGTGGCTGTGCATGATAGCTTTCTTATTGCTAGTTAGGTAGTCCTATCATTTTCTGGCCTTTGCTGCATGGTCTGCAATATATGACTATCTGGCCAGAGGGAGATAAACTATTAGAAAACTCTGTAACTATCTGGTCAGAGCCAAAGAACTGCATCCCACTCGGAAAGAAAGATGGTATACAAATGCAACAAATTAAAATGCTCCTCCACAAGCCCAGAGATATAGAACATCTGGTGCTTAGATATTTGTATATCTATAGGCTGTGTGTTTTCACCAGTCTACATGTAGTGTATCATTAGACAGGTTATACAAAAACTCAACTATTCCATGTTGCATGGGTAGCTGAGAGCAGGGAATATTTTTGAATTGAGTTGTTGTTTTGAATATCTTATGATGTTTAGCCTTTTCACTTTTGAGTATTTGAATACTGGGGAGGCCCTGCTCTCAGTCCCGCCTCCATTGCAGTCGTGTTTGGTGGGGACGAGAGACAGGGTCTTCTCTGTGGTGGCCCCCTCCCTTCTGACTTTTGCAAGAAGCTTAAATTCCTGGCTGTGGGAGCAAGCATTCCTAGAACAGACAGATTTTATTGGTGAAATTGAGATTTTATGGACCGTAATTTGGACTGATTTGGAGGATGTTTTAAACCTGGAGAACTGTTTTTAATGTATATTTATAATAATTTTATGTAATTGTATATTTGATTGCTGTTTTTATATTGTATTGACATCAAATTGTTGCCTGCTGGTAGCTGCCCTGAGTCCCTCTATGGAGGTAGAGAATAGGACGGGATATAAATGTTCTAAATAAATAAATAAATACTGACAGTCAAAATGGGTTGGTTATTTGATGATCTGATGTCAACTGCTTCAAAGCAATCAACTACCCTGTTTCCCTGAAAATAAGAAAGACCCATAAAATAAGACGTAGCAGGATTTCTAAGCATTTGCGCAATATAAGTCATACCCCAAAAATAAGACGTAGTGATAGGCATGGCTATGCAGCGTACAAAGCCGGCTCCCCCATCAGGTGCCAGTCATTTTGTGCGTGCTGCAAGCTAAGGCATGGAGGGAGACATAGAAATTGAAAGTATCCTCAGTGAAGTGAGGAGTCGGATGCTCTGCTTTAGGTATTGTGTGTCCTCAGGGGGAAGAAGTAAAGCTGTGACTAATGTTTCACTCAGCACTGTGTCTCTCTCTCCCCCAGCACCAACCAGCAGCAGTCTGTGGGTCTCTCTCATCACCCACAAACACCAGTAAAGCGGTTGCTCCCCAGCACTAACCAGAAACAGTCTGTAAGTTTCTCTCACCCCACACAGACACCAGGTGATAGGGGAAAAGCTTCAGCAAGCAGACTGCTACTGAGACTAGAATGATGATACCATAAATGCAGATTGTCGGTCAATACTTAATAAAAATAAGACATCCCCTGAAAACAAGCCATAGTGTGCCTTTTTGAGGAAAATAAAATACAAGACAGTGCCTTATTTTCAGGGAAACATGGTATGGGTGGAAAGAATATTTCAAAAATATTTTAAAAGTTTTTTTTTAAAAAAAACCCTCAGCATTGTTGAATACCAGAAATCCTTAGTAAGGAGGGTCCTATAACAGATGAGAATCTTTGCAGTTGAGGACAAGTACTCAAATCCATATGGTCTCCCCCTCTCTCTTTGAGCAGAAAACAAGTTTCCTATGATGAAAACAGCATTTTTGTGTAATAGGTGACATTCTGTTTTCTGTGCAGAAAATGCACTTTTTCTGCAAAGGAAACTTCTTCTCTGTACAAAAAGGCCACATGCAACTGTTTGCACATAATAAGTCCTCCTAATGACTGTATTGGGATTAATAATATATTAACAAGATATTTATATGACTGAAAAAATTGACAGCAAGAAATATTAAGAGAAACAGTTGTTGTGCATAAGATCACAATTGTGATTTTATAATAACCATACACATGAAAGCCCTGAAAGTACCTTTCTGAATAAAATCTCATCATATCTGACAATATGCTTAGGGGCAGGACCTTTGGCCAAAATTTAAACTCTAAGCTTCTTATTACTTATTGGGACATTGACCTGATTTTTAGGCTTACAGTGTGATAATAATTAAATGTAGAAATTTGTCCAAACTGCATTTACTCAGGGCTTAGTAATTTAATAATAGAGCCAAAGAAGTTTAAAAATTACAGCAGATTTTTGTTTTCAGTAACATTTTGTATAGCTGTTGTGAAGACAGTATGTACATATGTGTGCATGTTTGTGCGAGATTGAGAGAGATTCAAGTTTAATCCTCAAACAATAAAAGAATCAATTTTGACAGGCATAGGCAATTAATGTGGTCTATGGGAAAGGCAACAGCCAAAACATTTTCTCTTCCCTTCTGCCACAGGATTTGTGAACTTAGTACCATGCTTGGCATCCCTTCAGCAATCCAACTAACACGTACCAAAATAAGGGAGAAAAGCAACAACAACCAGCTCCTGCTCCAAACCTCTGTTGGCACGCTGATGTGAACATGCCGCTCCCAGTGAGCATGACTTGTTCCATGCATAGCTGGAATCAGCTCTGTGGCTTTCAGTCAAGCTGTTCAGGCAGAGTTGTGTCTGATATTGTGGTGAACAAGAATTCATGGGAAGTGTTTGTGTACACCAAAGTTTGCTGTACATGCAGTGAGCATCTGGGCTGTAATACAACAGAGCTTGACAGAAAAAAAAAGTTAAACTGGAATCAAATCTCTGCCTAATTGTAATATACTGACAACTCTCAAAGTTGTATTAGCCAAATCAATGAGCTCTAGTGTCAGATCCACCAAATGAGTATTGGTTTTAACAGTTGATGGGTGTGTTTGGTTTTGAGAAAAGAAGACTGAGAGGGGACACTATAGGCATGTTTAAATATTTAGAAATGATGCCATATTGAGGATTCTGAAAATATGCATAATTAATAATGTGGACAAATACACTTTCAGATGCAAAAAAATGTGAAAAGTGCACACAAAATATGTCAAATTTCCTTATAGAAAAAAAGAAAGAAGAGAGGTCTTAGTAATCAATATGGAAACAGGACCAAATGGCAATGCTGGTGGTGAACTAAGAAACTCAACAAGAGTAAAACTGCTAACTTTTGACACTGCTATGTAGAAACTTAGAATTTTGGATACCAAAGGTAATAAATTGCCATTATGACTGAACAATTGCTAACCTTAAGTCACTGTTAAAATTCATCCTGGTTTGTGATCATCATATTGCATATTTTGATTGAAACTTGTGAAGTACTATTTTAATTCGCCCAGTATCCCCCAGCTGCTGCCTTAACTTCATTAGTAAATTTTAGGTTTCAGTCTTATGAAAGAAAGAAAAAGATCATTCATGATTTTAGAATTACTCATATTCCTTAGATCCCTTCTCCACTGGTACTGTTCACTTCTTTGCAAGTTCCTGCAAACATGGATTTGCAGAAGACCCACTTGTTAAATTGTGTACGCTTCTCTAAAGTTAGCAACTTTCTCCAAATCTTGTTATGGTGAATTTGGTAAATCAATTACATGTTTCATGAGGACTTATTTTTGGAAATATAATGGTAACTTATTTGCAGGGCCTTATATTTAACATTTTTTTTTTCTAAAAAATTAGTATCTCTTGTTTTTCAGAAGTAACAAGAATGGTTACTTTTTTGCTATATCTGAGTTTCTTTTACTCAACACCATAAGCCCTTCCTGGACCATATTACTCTCCAACCATCTACGACCTCATCATATGAGGTCTTCCCCCCATCCTAGGATGCTGCCGAGATGCAGCCAGGGCATTGTCCACCAGAGCACATCACATGACGCAGGTCTACTTCTTGTTGGGCTCATTCCTGCCTCTGTGCATGCTGCGTCTCGGCCACATGCTAAGAGGCAGCCCTGAGAACACAGATGACTACTTGTGCACTCATTGAGTAAGCCAGAGGCAGATGGGAGATGGCATATGATGATAAGGGGTTGATACGAAGTGCTGCTTGATGGTTTCCCTTGCTGCCCCATAAATTCGCTGCCTGACCGATTCCCCCACTGTCCCCCGACTTAAGGACATCCATGTAATGATGTCCATAGTGATGTCAGAACTCCATAACTAGAAAAATGCCACTTTGGGGTGTGTGTGTTAATGACAATAGCATTTATTGTAGTTGTATCATA